GGGCCCCAAAGCACCCAAAATGGGACCCTTCAGCCATGAAGACCCCAAAGCCCCCAGGTGACCCCCAGGGTGCCCTAAGTGTCCTCCTGCTGTCCCCAAATGTCCCAAAACGTCCCAAAACGTCCCCAAATGTACCCAAAACAGCACCCAAAATAGCCCACGAATGTCCCCAAAATAGCCCCAAACGGGCACCAAAGCACCCAAAATAGCACCCAAAACAGGCCGCAAAGCACCCAAAATAGCCCCCAATGTCCCCAAAACAGGCCCCAAAGCACCCAAAATAGCCCCAAAATGGGCCCCAAAGCATCCAGGCCACCCTCAGGTGCCCTAAGCGTCCTCCTGCCATCCCCAAGTGTCCCAAAACGTCCCCCAATGCCCCAAAACAGCACCCAAAATAGCCCACAAATGTCCCCAAAATAGCCCCAAACAAAACAGGCCCCAAAGCACCCAAAATAGCCCCCAATGTCCCCAAAACGGGCCCCAAAGCACCCAAAATGGGACCCTTTAGCCATGAAGGCCCCAAAGCCCCCAGGCGACCCCCAGGGTGCCTGAAGTGTCCTCCCGCTGTCCCCAAACGTCCCAAAACATTCCCCAATGTCCCAAAACGTCCCAAAACAGCACCCAAAATAGCCCACGAATGTCCCCATAATAGCCCCAAACGGGCACCAAAGCACCCAAAATAGCACCCAAAACAGGCCGCAAAGCACCCAAAATAGCCCCCAATGTCCCAAAACAGGCCCCCAAAGCACCCAAAATAGCCCCAAATGCCTCCAAAATGTGCCCCAAAGCACCCAAAAGAGCCCCAAATGCCCCCAAAATGTGCCCCAAAGCACCCAAAATAGTCCAAAGAGACCCCAAAAGGGGCCCAAACAGGCTCCAAAGCACCCAAAATAGCCCCCAATGTCCCCAAAATGTGCCCCAAAGCACCCAAAATAGCCCCAAAGAGACCCCAAAGCACCGAAAAGAGCCCCAAAGCACCCAAAATGTGCCCAAAGCACCCAAAATGTGCCCCAAAGCACCCAAAATAGCCCCCCAATGTCCCCAAACGTCCCCCAATGTCCCCAAACGCCCTCAAAGTCCCCAAACGTCCCTCAATGCCCCAAAATAGCACCCAAAATAGCCCCCAAATGTCCCCAAAGCAGCACCCAAAATAGCTCCCAACCGGCACCAAAGCACCCAAAATGGGCCCAAAATGGGCCCCAAAGCACCCAAAACAGCCCCCAAAGCCCCCAAATGTCCCCCAATGTCCCCAAACGTCCCCCCGAGGCCACTCGCCTCATGGCCAGGTACATGGGGCGGATGGCGAAGAGCGGGAACGTGTGGACCTTGATCATGATGGTCATGAAGGCCACGTAGAGCAGCACCTTGACGAACCCTGCGCCCAAACGAGCCCCCCGGCGTCAGCGCGGGGCCCCGGCCCGGCATTCCCGCCGGGAAGCGCGCGGGAACGCCGGGAACGGGGCGGCACCGGTGCAGAGCTCCGTGTAGAGCATGTAGACGGCCTTGCTGTCCCAAGGGTTGTCGCTGCGGAGGTCCAGCGCGTGCAGGACGTACTTGACCAGCACCGTGAGCACCATGGTGAGCAGGATGGCGTACTGCGGAGCGTCGGGAATGTCGCCGGGAATGCCGGGAATTCCGGCGTTCCCGCCGCTCCGCGCGCGGTTACCTCGAAGCCGAACACGAGCTGCACGGAGGCGCCGCGCGTCAGGATGCTGTGGTAGGCGTGAGTGACGAAGAGGAAGTCCAGGATTCCCAGCAGGAACATGAGCGCTGGGA